TGTTGTAAAATTTTAAAATGCATTATGTTCTTCATTAGCTGCACTCATTTTGACAGAAAAATAAAAACAAATGAAAATCACACATTTTCCTTAATCGAATTGCGAGTTACCGTCTTTAAAATTTAAACTCTTTAATAATACCGAAACTAGCCATATACTTAATGGTATAGACAGAAAAAATTTATTAGAAGTTTATGTATACCAATGATTTTTTCCCCAACATAATGTATCCGATATATATAAAATATTGGATATTTTTATATTTAATGTAAATATCGGATTTTTGCGAACCCCGAACTATATTGTCAGTTTGTCATTTCAAATATCTTAAATTTCTACTTTATTGCTCCAATCGGGTATTTTATTGGTATAAAGAAAAACGTAACGTTCTTGGTTGGTATAAGTATTATTCGAGAACTACAATAAATTGAATCGAATAGAACACTTTTCGATTCAAGTAGGTATTTTGGCGCGTATGCGGTCTTTAATTACTATAATTAAAGTATATTACATTAATTAATCAAAGTTGAATAACTTGATTATGGAAATTGATATATGCGAAAACGATAGAGAACCCATACTTACTTATATATTATTCACGTGCATATAAGTATTTACACATACTTATATGTACGTGAATTAGATATGAATATCAAATATACTTAAGTGACTAATTAAATTTCTTATTTTTTAAATGTAGGATGTGTAATTGTGGAATGATATATTTATTACACAATTGATCTATTTTCTAGGGACTAGTTCTGTTGGGCACCACACTACTATGATATAGAAATTCCAGGAAAGTCCCGACTCTCACTACTATCAACTCTTTTAGTATAGGGTTGCTAACAGGCAATTATGTTACAGATTAGTATTGTAAACTTTTATTATTAAGTACGAACGACTATAAAATAATTCGGAGATATAAATTATGTATTGTGTCCGACAAATTTCTAAGTTGAAAATAGTTGAAAGATTTTCATAGGAATTTAAGTTAGAAAATAAATTTTAATATGATGATGGGAACCCCAATTACGTCACCCACACATTAGGGACTTCCTAACTAGGAAGTGTTGTTTTTACAATGACCATTGTACATTTCTATTATAGGTATATTTTTTTATTGACGTCAGCACTTGATTAGCTGAAAGAGAAGGCATGTATTTTGTACCTGAAGTAGGTAGCAAACACTGTTTGAATTTTTAGTTAAAATCTTAGGCAGTCTACAGTATTTTTGGAATTCTTTTCCACAAATTTCTTATTGGCTAGAACAATAAATATTTGGTATAGTAATATTACTAAAACTGTGACACAGTGTTCACTTTTGAACTACCGCACTGTATTCTGTATCTTATCAAGTTGAAGATATTAGATAGAAATTATTTCTTTGGTTTTTGATGATGCTGAGCTTAATTAATATCTTTTGCATTTGATTCAATGTGAAATTAATTCTGATAAGTTAAATTACAAAGTGTATGTATGAAAGCACTTTCAGTCTTATAAAAACGAGCATTAAAACTAGTATGTACTCTTAAGCCATTGACTGCCTAAAGTAAACTGACATTAACAGAAGAGAAAACATCAAAACAAATTAAAATGCGACCGCATTAATTACTTATTTTGGTTGGATAATGCTTTTTACCTGGTACTAGTAAGTTGTTGTCTAAAAATAGGGTGATATAAGATACCTTATCTGTTATGTAGGTATATAATATATATATATATATATACGAATATAAATACCTACTACATATATACCTATATATATATATATATATATTTACTAGGTATTTATATTTTCTTAATAATTTTATTTGGGAAGATCGTACTGACAGCTCTACTATATCAGCTATTGTTGTGTCCCTGTAGATATTTCAACTTGAAATCAGGAGTTCCTTCTGCACATAACTTTATAACTTTTATGTTATTATAATTCACATTATATCACTTACCATTTCTCTGATGATAAAGAAATTTTCCTTTGTATTTTTCTTTTTGAATAAAAAAACTATTGGCATTTGATATTGGCCTATATCACCAGATTTAAATGTTACATTAACATCTTTTTTTAACTTTTGCTCTGAAATAGTGATAAGAATTAATAATAATCAAATTTATGTATGATAGATAACAAACACATTATGTGAATAATATATATAGATCATCTTCACCTGTAGCTACAAAATTTTTTATACAAAGAGTAACACTTACTTGGTTTCAAACATTCAGGCTTACAATCCAAGTTCATTCCATGGTCATTAATTAAAAAATTCAACTTATTAGTTGGTAGTAGAATTAAATACAGTGATAAATCTTCCTTTTTGCTTTCATTATATATAGTAAATTGAAAACTAATTTCTTCATTGGGTTTAGCCTGAAACAAAGAGTAATTGCTCTTTCTTTTTATGACACAATTAAAAATGTATACTTACGAATGAAATGCGAACCTTTGATCTTTAGATGTCTTACGTATCTAGTTTCTACAGATTCGCATTAGACAGGATGGCATTTTTTAAATAATTATGGTACATAAACATTTGCATTTATATCAAGCTTTCGCCATACTGCGCTGCCTAACTTATCTACCCTTTTTAATTGTAATATAATTGGTTCTATGTATGCATAAGGCTGAATTCCTCAAGTTCTCATATTATGAGTAAGAAGGGGGTGACGTCACGCGCTGTTTGCGGTCACGTGACAATGAGCTTAAAATATTAATTTTTTCATAATCAGTTTAAACAATATTATAAATATAATAAGCATAAAAGTGTGACTATTGGTAATAATATATTGAACACTACCACAAAAAGTATTATAGGTGTCTATTTTTGTTTACTGTCTACATCCGGATTATAAAAAGAAACTTATTTTTTGTATGACCGACATCCAACTGCACAAGAATCAGTCAAATTATTATTATTTTTAAGGTTTAGTAACTAAGCTTTAATGATTAGAGCTTACTCACTAAACCTTATTGGATGTTTGTGCAACTGGCCATTAGACTGTTGAAACATTGTAGAAACATACAGAAGTATTAGGTACATGTTTAGACTTACCGATATTTTTATTTTGCCATCTGCATTGTCAACGATAGCTGAATATGATGACTTCACATTACATGTCACCACAGCACCTTTTCTGTTACCAGCATTCTTTTTCCTAAAATAATTAGTAACGGATTAATTCAGGATTGAATTAATAAACTTCAATGGGGCAGTGATTGGTGCTTTCAGTCAAAGTTTAAGCAACTAGTACAAGAGCCGTTCATCAGATGGGTGATTAAAACTTTACTATATCGAGTCTTTCATAACAGCTTAAAGTGCCTTTTGAAGGTGTAAGCTGTTAGTCATAGCTGCATCTGCAGTTGTCAACACCTATTTACTGGGACTAATTATGTGTTAGGTGGGTATGGCCTGTGCTCTCTATTTGATTTTATCTACGGGTGGACCTGTGCCACAGCTGTGATGATATTAATAAGATGATGTGATGATAAATACTAAAATAAAAATAAAAAAAGTTTGCTTAACCTATTGTGGTATGGTTATCCTTGTGTAAAATATTGAAAATATTTTGAATTTTACTATACAGTATTTGGCCTGCTACTAGATAGTAATTGGGTATCCAGACAGATAATGAAAACAAGGCCAGATAACAGATATTCCTTTCATCATCAATTAACTGTTAATCCAATATCATCAGAAAAACCATTGCAGTGGATATATGTTACTGTTATCATGGTGGAGTAATACTAAAATTTTATAATATTAGTTGTCTGTTCTATCAACCCAATTTTTTTAGGTATTATACTTTCAAATTAATACCATGTGTTATTTTCCCTAAATAATAAAAAAATATCAAACTGGGGTTTAACCCAATACACAGTTTCTATTATAGAAAAAAGCAAATTACAAAGTTTTAGATAATTATATACATAATGCTAATAATCAATAAAGAGTATGCATATTTCATTGAAAAGATAAGAACATACATTGTTAGTATAAAAACGCTTATTTAGTCAGAGTACAGTTTTACTATTCAACAGGTTGGTAGTCTTTCTTTTCATTTTAAGTGTACATTTTTACAATAAGTAGCTTTAATTAGAGTAGTTTTAGTTAGGTTGGTGAATTAATAAGTACTTATGGTAAGTTTCTATCGACGCTTTTGGAATTTAATACCATACATACCTTTCTAAAGAATATTCATAAAGAGCTTTATTCTTCAAGTGTTTTTCAGATACGTCATGTTCGGGGCCCGACTTCATTTCAGAACATATTTTGTGCACATAACTTTATAACTTTTATGTTATTATAATTCACATTATATCACTTACCATTTCTCTGATGATAAAGAAATTTTCCTTTGTATTTTTCTTTTTGAATAAAAAAACTATTGGCATTTGATATTGGCCTATATCACCAGATTTAAATGTTACATTAACATCTTTTTTTAACTTTTGCTCTGAAATAGTGATAAGAATTAATAATAATCAAATTTATGTATGATAGATAACAAACACATTATGTGAATAATATATATAGATCATCTTCACCTGTAGCTACAAAATTTTTTATACAAAGAGTAACACTTACTTGGTTTCAAACATTCAGGCTTACAATCCAAGTTCATTCCATGGTCATTAATTAAAAAATTCAACTTATTAGTTGGTAGTAGAATTAAATACAGTGATAAATCTTCCTTTTTGCTTTCATTATATATAGTAAATTGAAAACTAATTTCTTCATTGGGTTTAGCCTGAAACAAAGAGTAATTGCTCTTTCTTTTTATGACACAATTAAAAATGTATACTTACGAATGAAATGCGAACCTTTGATCTTTAGATGTCTTACGTATCTAGTTTCTACAGATTCGCATTAGACAGGATGGCATTTTTTAAATAATTATGGTACATAAACATTTGCATTTATATCAAGCTTTCGCCATACTGCGCTGCCTAACTTATCTACCCTTTTTAATTGTAATATAATTGGTTCTATGTATGCATAAGGCTGAATTCCTCAAGTTCTCATATTATGAGTAAGAAGGGGGTGACGTCACGCGCTGTTTGCGGTCACGTGACAATGAGCTTAAAATATTAATTTTTTCATAATCAGTTTAAACAATATTATAAATATAATAAGCATAAAAGTGTGACTATTGGTAATAATATATTGAACACTACCACAAAAAGTATTATAGGTGTCTATTTTTGTTTACTGTCTACATCCGGATTATAAAAAGAAACTTATTTTTTGTATGACCGACATCCAACTGCACAAGAATCAGTCAAATTATTATTATTTTTAAGGTTTAGTAACTAAGCTTTAATGATTAGAGCTTACTCACTAAACCTTATTGGATGTTTGTGCAACTGGCCATTAGACTGTTGAAACATTGTAGAAACATACAGAAGTATTAGGTACATGTTTAGACTTACCGATATTTTTATTTTGCCATCTGCATTGTCAACGATAGCTGAATATGATGACTTCACATTACATGTCACCACAGCACCTTTTCTGTTACCAGCATTCTTTTTCCTAAAATAATTAGTAACGGATTAATTCAGGATTGAATTAATAAACTTCAATGGGGCAGTGATTGGTGCTTTCAGTCAAAGTTTAAGCAACTAGTACAAGAGCCGTTCATCAGATGGGTGATTAAAACTTTACTATATCGAGTCTTTCATAACAGCTTAAAGTGCCTTTTGAAGGTGTAAGCTGTTAGTCATAGCTGCATCTGCAGTTGTCAACACCTATTTACTGGGACTAATTATGTGTTAGGTGGGTATGGCCTGTGCTCTCTATTTGATTTTATCTACGGGTGGACCTGTGCCACAGCTGTGATGATATTAATAAGATGATGTGATGATAAATACTAAAATAAAAATAAAAAAAGTTTGCTTAACCTATTGTGGTATGGTTATCCTTGTGTAAAATATTGAAAATATTTTGAATTTTACTATACAGTATTTGGCCTGCTACTAGATAGTAATTGGGTATCCAGACAGATAATGAAAACAAGGCCAGATAACAGATATTCCTTTCATCATCAATTAACTGTTAATCCAATATCATCAGAAAAACCATTGCAGTGGATATATGTTACTGTTATCATGGTGGAGTAATACTAAAATTTTATAATATTAGTTGTCTGTTCTATCAACCCAATTTTTTTAGGTATTATACTTTCAAATTAATACCATGTGTTATTTTCCCTAAATAATAAAAAAATATCAAACTGGGGTTTAACCCAATACACAGTTTCTATTATAGAAAAAAGCAAATTACAAAGTTTTAGATAATTATATACATAATGCTAATAATCAATAAAGAGTATGCATATTTCATTGAAAAGATAAGAACATACATTGTTAGTATAAAAACGCTTATTTAGTCAGAGTACAGTTTTACTATTCAACAGGTTGGTAGTCTTTCTTTTCATTTTAAGTGTACATTTTTACAATAAGTAGCTTTAATTAGAGTAGTTTTAGTTAGGTTGGTGAATTAATAAGTACTTATGGTAAGTTTCTATCGACGCTTTTGGAATTTAATACCATACATACCTTTCTAAAGAATATTCATAAAGAGCTTTATTCTTCAAGTGTTTTTCAGATACGTCATGTTCGGGGCCCGACTTCATTTCAGAACATATTTTGCATAACATTTTTAGATGATGAATTTAGACAGCCCTAAGCGCAAGTTACAAAATAATGTTATTAAAAAATTTAAACCGGCAGAACTCTAGTTTTGGAAAACCTGAAATACACATATAAAATATAATTAAAAAAAGAGTTTAAACTACAATTATACACAAAACTTAAAAAAGAAACAAATACCTCAAATCAACTGCATCAAAACTGCATGATCAACGCGTCGCGCGTCGCCAAAAAACCCACGAAAAATAGCTTCGCTTGCATTTTGTTCATCCTTTCTTTGTTTACTAAAAAGATACATTATTCTTTATGGTTTGCTTTCTGCTGCGCTGCTTTGGGTTGCCATATATAATTTATGGATTACCTTAAAAAATAAAAGTATATATCTTCTTTCAGTTGGGTGTCATGTCTATGCGGTAGAGCCTATATATTAAAATTTTCTTTGTGCTAGAGTCACAAACTTTAGGATACTAAATACCTACGGTTGGAGTGATTGTAACTGAAACGATTCATTACGATTTCGGAACTAGTACGAAATAGAAAGAATTATTGTCTTTATATAAATAAACTTGACGAGGAAGTATTTAAAAAGAAAACACAAAAAAGCACCTCCACTAGATGGCGACTCTAGCAAAAGTTGATTTTTGCAGAAAAGGAATGGACCAAAGACAGTCATTTCCGTTTGTTTTAACTAACACATTAAAAACTGAAATTTGCAAAGTTCAAATTAAGATATCAATACAAATAGAATTTGAGTTGCCTATTGAGTTTTAAAAAATAATTTACTTTTATACATGAAAGAAAACCAGAAGAGTTGTCATGGAGAAATCAAGAACATACCGTAGCGACATCTAGTTTTATTTCAGGAACAAATGTTTTTTTTAAATACCTCCTTATTGAGATAACTTTTGAATTGTTTAATCCTTATTTCTACCATATGTACTGGCTATGAAGAAGTATTTGAGAAAAAAGTAACTAAGAGAGATAGCGAGAATTAAATGCGTTTGCGTCAAACTAGTGTCAATGAATTTTTTTATCAATTGCGTTCCCATTATCTTTATAATGTTTTATTTTTAAATTTTACAAATTAATAATAAGGCGTCGACATATTTATTAGCTCTTTAACGGTTCATCTATTATGTAAGTTTCGAAAATTTCTTTTGGAATTTTTTGTAGTGAAATACCATTACGAGTAAAGGAATGAAAATAACACTGTAAGGTTTATTTGAAATCTCTGTGTACTGAATCTAATGGTGTCCAAAAGAGTAGCTTTGAGTCGTCGGGCTCAGTCGGCTGTTAAAACATATTACTTTTTTTACAAAAAAAAGCTATTTATGTTAACACCTAACAGTGGAGAAATATGACAGTTTATTAGTCTGACGAGCAGTTGACTGTACACGAGATAAAACTATGGATACATTTTAATCCTATCCGTTTTTATATTTCGTTCATTACTCTCACGTGTACAGCAACTAATAACTCAAATTAAATAATGAAAGCAACTAAAAACAGTATCTTCCATTTCACTCGTACGAGGAGATACATAAATTGTAAAATATAAGATTGCTTTTCGTTCAATATTTTTCGCTTCCTAATTATTTGTTTACTATTTTGAAGATCAAAATTTTCCTTATAATTGGGAAGAAATTTAAATCTGGCAATGATACCATCATTCTGGCTTCAATCTGACAGTGTTAATTCCATAGACTAAGGTTTATTCCCGACCAAAAACGAATAGAGAGCGTGTCACGTACGCGTGAGTCACCTACCTGTAATGTAATCGGCGTTATAGATAAGTTATCGTTACATAGCCATTTAAACTTCTTGGTAGTGCCATGCATGATGCTAAGAAGCACCTAGATACACCAACAATGAATATGATTTTAGTAAGGAACGTATGATTTACTAGGTGTAAATTGGGGTTTCTGGATCAGAGGAGATCCAGAAACACCCAATTCACCCTATCATTCATTGTATTCAGAAATGGGTACAATTTGCTTTAATATTCAGTCATTCATCATTCAGTCTTTATTCATTTTATTATTTCAACCATCAAAGGAGATCCAAGAACGCTCAAATAGTAGTGTATCAATCATACATTAATATCGTGATTTATGATATTGTTCATAATATAGATTATCGGCTATTCTGTTCTATTTTATTCGTCACACCGCCATTTAAAAAAAATTAACAGCTTATCCATAGCAGCAGCAGCCTTTGTGTATATAAGATGCAATCTGTTATTCAGTATATATCAATTGAACATTAACTGCATTCAATGTAATGATCAGCAATTAGCAGTCCAAATCAACTGCGTCAAATAAATTTTTGAACCGTTAGGGTTAAACATAAATAATATTCTATTCTACACTTTCAATCCATCTGGTAGTTATTTAAATTGATGAGTTAATAATTTTTTATAGGTGTGGATAAGGATATTTCGCATCATAAGATAAAGAATATTCATTTTATTGAAAAACTTTATTATCAATACACCATTTATTTAAACATTTTTAGAGCTATCTAAATTAACAACTCCACATTCTTTCCTTAAAGGATATTTAGGGAGCTCATCTCTCATAAATACTCCTCTAAAATAAGGTATATTATTTCCATACTTTAAAATATCGAAATTAGTTAAGGCTCTTTTGGGTAACCGATATCTTAGTTTTTTTGTTTCGATACAAAAATTCCAAGCCCATCTTTATGTGGTTTTAGTTGTAATCCTTTCCCAATACATAGAGCTTCCATTTTTTCATTATGTCTTTTCGATTCAATCAACATCTTTTGAGCCATCTTGATTTCGTTAATGGTTTTAGCAATGCCAGCTGCACCACCAGCTATAGCTCCCACCGCTGATAGACCGGCAAATATAGGAATCAAGGGCAATACACCACCAGTTTTTGGTATAGGAATTACACGAGGAAGTTTAATGGATGAATTATCAGCTAATTCTCTGACAGCGGCAATAGCTAATTCCATGGCATCTTTTCTGGTCTTTGGTTTTAATTTTTTAATATGTTTTTTTGTTTTAGTAATAACATTTTTCAATTTATATTTTAATCCTTTTTCAGATAAACCTTTCTGAGAAACCTTTTTGGTACTTGACTTCAGGCCAGAACCAGTTTTAATTTTTGCCGACATAGCCTTGCTTAAACATGCCGCAATTTTTTCACCTATACTCGCATCTGAAGAAACTGCTCGATCTTTTGCCATTTTTAAAAGGATTAAATCAGCCTTGTGCCGATCTCTCAAATTTGTTGATTTGTGATAGGCAATGTCGTGATTTTTGCAATATTCGTCTAATTTGTTAATACCGTTATCTCCCCGTGTAAGCCTTTTAATTAATTTTGTACCTAGGCCACAATAATTACATCCCGGTAAATGTAATTCAAATGGTAAATTATTTATAAGCCAATTTAGAAGACTACTCTCTCCAAAACACATTATATGACTAATAAATGTAGATTAAGCATATTAATAAATACCTATTTAAACGATTCATCCATGATTTTGTTATTAGGTTAATGTTACAGTATTATATTCGATTTATCAATCCATGTATTTTCATATGATGGTAAACCTAACCATTTTACTAAAACTCTGTTAGCTTTTCTTCTAAGAACTTTTTCGACGAGATATACATTAGGATGCTTTGTTTTTTGAAGCTCTTGCTTATAAAATGCACCTAAAATAGGCTGACCTCTGTTGGCATCTTCGATTAAGTAGGTTACAGGAGTTGTATTTTGTATTTTACAAATTTTAAATATTTCTGTTGACCAATTGGGAGTGTAACCTTTTTCAAATGTTCCTTTGTATTTACTGATACGCACATAATCACCTACATGATACTTACTTCTTAGGTTCTCATTTTTTATTAACTTAAAATACCTATTTAATATCATATTTTTATTTATGTTGTTTACTTTAGCAGGCATTTCATTAATAGTGCGATGATAAGTGTGATTGTATCGATGAGTAACATCATTGAGCGTATTATGTATCCAATTGTAATTGCCTTTTAAACTGAATTCTTTATAGACCTTAGATTTTAATGTTCTGATAAATCGTTCAACTATTGAAGCCTTTTTCGTCGAGAAAGTTGAATAATGGTTGATATGATAGGATTTCATAAGTTTCTGAAATTTGTTATTATAAAATTCTGATCCATTATCTGTTTGCAGATTTTTAGGAACACGTCCTCTATCTAACAGACTTTTGAAAGCGTTACACACATCTTCTTTGGTTTTACTTCTCATAGGAAAGGTCCAAGCATATTTCGAAAATGTATCAATAACGGCAAGAATATGTCTGTAATTCTTATTTTCTTTTGAAATTGATTGCATATCTATTAAATCTGCTTGCCACAAGTCATCTATATCTTTCATGATAACATGTCTTCGTGGATAGTTTACCCTCGCATTTTTATGAATTTCGTTCACCACATCACTTTTGCTCATGTTTACGATTATATGAGTGATATGTGTCTTGAATTCCGATATAGTACTGAATGAAAAGCATGTTATAATTATTATTTATTATTGAATTATGTCAGCTTCTCTTAATTCTTCGATTATTGATAAAATTTCATTATCATGATTTGTATTACCGGCATCTCTAGAAGCAATTAATAGTTTTAATCTGTCAACTAGCTCGTTAGGATCATCCCAATATACCAAGTCAGTATTTTTTCTGTATCTCTTTAGCATCGGTAAGCTTCCTCCAAAAGTAACATTATTATTTTTCAAAGGTTCGGAAAACAATGGTTTGATTATTTCTCGATATTTTATGCCTTTATCACCTCTTATTTGTCCATTAGGATTAAAATCTCTCTTATGTGCATTTGTATAATGCAACATATCCTTATACACAAGTTTATCTTTACTTGTTATTAATTTTAAATCAGGTTTTCTTCGAAGTAAAAGTTCTTTTAAACCTGGGGTTAAATTGTAGGCTTTATCACCTACTTTAATTAAAATCACACTATCGTCATTCAAGTTATCTATTTTAGAAAATGAAACTATTGAATTACCCATAAGGAATTTTTTGTTAACACTTCTTATTCCAAATGGTATACTAACACCATCATAAATATCATGGATATCGTGACCCTCTAATGAAATTTCTAAATCTTCTGGTAATGCTGATGTGGGAGACCTTTTAATTTGTGCAGAAT